TTTTTTATTACACTCACTTTTCCACCTTTTTTTCCACTCATAAAAGGGACCCCTCAATTTGTCACCTTTTTCCCACTCACTTTAACCCACCCAAAAACAAAAAAAATAAGGAAACACTTATTTCCACTTAATTAAACCCACCACCCAAACTTAATCAAACTTCATTAAAAGTTTTACCTAGTAGTTCGCAAAAAGGACATTTGATGTAGATAATCGTGGACGGAGGGAGTATGAATTTTCATATCAACAATAATCTCATGTAAAATTCTGACAAAAGTACAACTCAATTTTTACATCATGAAAAACAGAGTATCGTTAATTCGAAGCAACAATAGATCAAACTATGAGATGAAATGATGGATAGTATGGTTTTACAGATTTCTAATTCAAGTTTTGAAGTGGGTATATATGGTTTTGAAAATTTGGTGGGTGTAATAACGAGCAGTGAAAATTACAACTCAGTAAACACCTCAATCTAAAACAGAGCCACGAAGTATTTGATTCGTTTAATTTTTTGTATAGGGTTAATTTTATTTTTATTTTTTATTTTTTTATTTTTTATTTTTATTTTTTATTAATATGCATTTCAATATTTCATATAACTATTATATACGAAGTATTATACAAACCCTTCTCAGACTTTCCACTTATATTGGATTTTCATGTATCCACAATATATTATTGATGTATCTGTAATGTACTACCAATGTATTTACAGAGTATTACCAACGTATTTGTTAAGTATTACTAATGTATTTGAGTTTCTCACACTTCTCACGCTATATATATATATATATATATATATATATATATATATAGGGGAAGACTCTTATGAGAACCCCTCCTTTATATGAGAACACTTTTTATATTCTAAATTTTTACTCGTATGTTCTAAATTTTAAATTTGATGTTCTAAACTTTTCCCCAGGTGTTCCAAATTATGTCAGATGTTCTAAATTAGTACTCACATATTCTAAACCATAAATTAGTTATGTTAGATGTTATAAAATTTAAATGACTTATTTCAAAATTTTAACTTATATGTTCTAAATTTTAAAACGTGTGTTCTAAGATTTTTAGTTATGTGTTCTATATTTGAAAGCATATGTTCTAATTTTTACTATATTCTAAATTTTTACTCACATTTTCTATATTTTATACCAGGTGTTCTAAATTTTTTATTCACATGTTCTAAATTGATGAATCAGATGTTCTAAATTTTACTCATATGTTCAAAATTTCATAAAACAATTTATTTTAATTTTTACTCACATGTTCTAAATTATTAATTACACAGATGTTCTAAATTATTAATTACACAGATGTTCTAAATTATTACTCATATGTTCTAAATTTAAATAAAAAAAAAATTAGAGTCATATGTTCTAAATTTTTACTCATATGTTCTAAATTTATATATATATATATATATATATACTCTCAGGAGTTTTAATATTCATTTTAAAGCATTGAGGGAATATAATGCTTATCCATTTACGTATTATTTAATAAATGTGTTCATCTTCAAGAGCTTTGCATGTTTGTACATACGCTAACTGAATTGGTGAGAGCATCTGTCATGTCTCTGCTGCAAACATTATAATATACATTCTTCACTAGATTTACGTATATTTTTTTCAAAGCAAAAAACAAAAAAAATAAAACATACTGTAGTTAATATAAAATCTAGTGTATACCATTTGTAATACATAGGATTCTATTCTATTTCTTTTCTTTTTTTCTTTTTTTTTTCTCTCTTTTTTTTGGATGTAAATACTTAGGATCCCTTTTTATTGCAATCCTTATAAGTTTCCTATTTCTTTATATCGTAATTACTAATAAATAATAGTATATGCAAATATGCAATTATGACAAGGGATGAAAAATTGAACAGATCAGCTTCCGTAGATGGGGCAGGTCGTGGCAACAATATTACTTGCATCACTAAGTAAAATACTTAATAATTATTATAATAATTGTATTAAGTATTATATGGTCATCATGTTGCCAATATATTGTGATAATCATAACATGTATATGTGTTTGCTTTGCATTCTTATGATTAGTTAGCCACTAAGTACTAAGTACTTTTAAGGGTTCTAGTCTTTCACAATCATTATTAGTAATTACTTTAGCAAATACATACAAGTAATGTTTATTGCTCACTTTATTTGAGTCTCTTCTTCAATTAAAGTGATCATCTCATTGAATCGTTCCAATTGAACGCATTTACAAGCCCTTTATAGTTGCGAATTTGATTAAGGATGTAATGTAAGTTTTCAAAATGTTCCCTCTTTAATTAAAAGTTAAGTGACACGTAATTATCTTGAAAAGTAGTATATTAGATTATATATCCAATTAATTAATCATAAATCTATACTTAGTTTTTAAAAACTCAAACCATGAAAAACACATGTCCCCATCCTTTTAAACTTCCCTATCTTTTTTTCCAACCCAACGTGCCACATGTCGTCTTATTTTTTTTATTACACTATCTTTATCAACTCTTTCATTGAACACTTCATCTTCATCTCCCCTCTTCCATTCAACCTTTTCCTTTTCTCTCTTTAATTGTAGTCCCTCTACCTCTTTTTCAAGTCTCATTTTAAATTAAAGTCCAAACAATTTAGTTTCTTTAATTATATTTTTAATTTGGTTATACATTACACCCATTAATAATTTATTGATATTTTTATCACTCATTTTTCAATGCAGTTTTATATTAAAAACCCGTACATTGCACAGGCCCAAAGGCTAGTTGTTATAATCATAATACGTATATGACAACTAGTATTATATTCGGCTATTAATAATTAATCTATACCTAGTTTATAAAACCCAAACAATTAACGCCACATGCATGTCTCCTCCTCCTTTAATCTTTTCTCATCTCCTTTTATATTTTGTAAAAATATATTTATTCCTAATACAATTTTTCTTTTTTTTTTAAAAAAAAATTAATTTCATATTACCCTATACTTAATATTACATTCATTTCATATTATTAACAACTTTGAAAAATTTTACATCTCGCAAATAATATCCCAAAGTTGTAATAAATAATATGAAATGGTAGTATAAAGAATAATTTAATGCTATTCGGTAAAACTCTTTCTTATAAAAATAATACATAATAGAAGAAATATATAGGCTTTACTTTTAACAAACCGTGTGTTACACGGACCAAAAGACTAATTCATATAAAGGATGAGATAATGAGCATAATATATTTTATACTCCTTTTGTTTGATTGAGCTACCAATGGGAATACTCCATCTTCTCAGAATTAATTGTGACAATCTCCAACCCTATATAATTTAGAATCCATTATTATGAATGAGGATACGTTTGGAAATCTAGCTATAATGTAGTGATTCCATATTAGACATTGAGAGAAGCTTCTTAAAACATTCAAATATAGTGTACCATGTATATGACAATTTTGGTTATAATGGATGGAGTATAATACAAATTGCGCGCGTACTAATCTCTTTATTCATTTTTTTGTATCATATACATGGTTGATTAAAAAGTCAGCCTAGTTGATTTCAATTAGAGAAGCTTGGTGACTATATTTAACTTTTTATTAAAAAAAAAAATAAAAATACATATGAGGATTATTTAAGTATTGCGCATTTACTGATTGAAAGTAATTGTGATAAATTTATCAATCCATGAGTTGAATCCACCAAATTCTAATCAAACTTATTTTATATAAACGCTACCAGTGAAGATCGTCAAACTTATAGGTGTAAAATCTTTCTTTCGGGCTACTCTAGCTTATGATTTTTTTTTTTATTTTTTTTTTTCTCTAATCTACCAAAGTAGCAATGACACTAAACTACCAAAGTAAGGAATTAATTATTACAAGCAAATTCGAAAACCTGGCCCGATTTTTATGACCCAAACAATATCTGAATTGGAGGACATAATCCAAAAAATAATATGCCTAACATTGACATTATAGAGTACTTTCTAGTTTCTACAATAAACAGTGTGTTAAATTCACAATGAACCTTAATACGGAGTATAAATCCCAATTCAAGATAATTCGAATCAATTTCATAAGAAAAAAAAAAATAGAACTAGAATCATAATTTGTCACTTAAATAGGACACAACCCAAAGACCTTAATTGATTTAAATAATTTGTGTCACTTACTCACCTCTACTTTGAAGGAAATCTCAAATCCACATAAGAAAAAAGTAAAGATTAATGCGACCGAAAGACATTACAAAATGACATTGCACTCTTAGTCTTCTATATAATTTTTTTAGCAAGGTATTTAATTAAAAATAATATATAATAAAATTATCATTTATAATTTAATTAATAATCGCAACTAATTTTATAAATCTTCCACTTTCAAATATCAATTTTTCAATGACAATAGATTAAAAAGAATACCTAAACATAAAAATTCACACGTATGTCTTAAATAGCAAGGTTACACTTAGATATAGTTTGGTAGTACCTAGTAGAAAAAACTTGCCAAAGTTGAACATTCTTCTATCACTAAAATTATATCATCGGCCATGAATATTAGTATATTACCAAGGAAAAAACATTGCCCTATTTCAAGAAAATTACGTGATGAACTCATGAAGTAATATATGTACTATATAATTTAATTTGAGTTTAAACCCCTTTAAAGATGAAAAGTTTTGACTAGTGAAGATTTTGTGGGGTTATCACAACATCACAAATACTAAAACTCCAAAATTGGTGCTCATGCAACTCTTTGATTTACCACCAAAAAGGAGTCATGAATATGTTTATTGATATTATATCGTGTCATTTTCAACAACAAAATTTGGGCATTAAATTTGGTAGAGAAGAAAATGAAATATAACAAGAGTAAGCTTACTTTCATAAAATAGACACCCAAAAAAAATGACATTTTGAAAGCAAAAAAGTAGTAGTAACACACTAACACAGTAACATGACTTGAAAAAAACTGATTAAATAAAATTTTGTTGTTTTTCAATCTTATATTATACGTGAGTCCCACAAACATCATACTATGTGTGGGACCCAGATCTACAAAATAATCTGAGCCAGTATGGAAAGAGAAAACTCACTGAATTTCATTTTCATTTTTAGTGCAACCCCCCATTTCTCTTCTTCACCTCCAAACAAAACCTCTAATTTTCCCCTTTCTCTCTCTTAAAATGCTCTATTTTTTGAGTTAGGGTTTTTAATCATTAATACCCATTTTCCCTCGAGATGGATTTTTTTTTCAGGTACTGTTAATTTGATTTTTCCCATATTTTAGATTATTGTTTTTAAATTTTTTTTTGTGGGTTTATAGTGTTGATTTTTTTTATAATTTTACTTGGGTTTTTTATGTTCTTGTAATTGGGGTTGTTTATTTGATAGTTATTGTGATATAGTTTTTGGAATTTGCTTCTATTTTGAAGGGCATTTTTGTGGGTTGTTCCTTTTTTACGCTATTTTTGTGCTTTATTTTTATCAATTAATTTGGTTCTAATTTCTAGGATAAATGATGGGTAATTAAGATCTGCAGATGGGATTATCTGTAACATAGTTTTGCTGAATTTGAATAAGTATATATGTCATTTTCTGCAGTAAAGCTTGTGTCTTTATCATAATTTGAGCTAATTATTTGAGGGAAAGAATTTCTCGTTTTTGGTTTCTTGCATTTGTGTTTATTTATGAAAAAAGCTCATTTGATTAATTGAACTGTATTAGCTGTTTGCCCTTGTTTCTAGTTAGGCAACTGCTGTTGTGATTGATTTGTTTACAGTCCATATTTCTTGCTTTGATATGGTGGTTAATGTTCTGCTCTACCTAAGATATCGTTTCGATGTTTTCGACACAATTGGTGGATAAGGATTTTTAGAAATGTTATGGATATAATAGGCAAAAGATGTACATTTGACTTAAGTTTTTTACTTTTTACCTGAGCTTGTAATTCCAGAAACCAGCACTGATATAACAAATTCAGTTGCCCAAATGTTGGCAGAATCGCGTCGAGACTGTTCTTATGTAAACAGACCTTCTCCTGTAAATTACCTCAGTGGGTTTTTTCTTTATTTAGAATAACAGGGAGAGAGAGGGGGAGAGGGACACTGGTCGGAACTTGGAATAATGTAACAAATGTAACGGACTTTAGCTTTTGTGGTGCATAAACATTAGTTTTTATATTGTCAAAAGGAAGATAAAAATAGTGTATGATCATCCCTCTATGCTTGCGTAATTTGATTATTAGAAATGAATGCATTGTTTTTACTGATGATTGATTTTAAAATTCTCTAACTGTTTTTAATTATTATTTGGCAATTTGTATTTTTTGTTAGAATGTTTAGCACGCATACCTCCTAATCTTCATATACATAGATATGTTTCAGCAGCTTGATGATTGACTCATCACACTATGTTTGTGCATCCCTTTAACAGGATTTTTATTTTGCAATCAGAAGTACGTGGATGATTTTAGCGTCATTACCCATTATGTCGTTAGAAAACTGCGGCAGCACTTTTGCTTTATAGTTCAGATGCTTCTTTTGGAGTAGAATGGTATGATACAAACTCTTGCCCTTTTTCTGTGCCATAATTTTCATTCAGTATGGCACACATGAGTTTGTTTCCCGGTAATTGTGAAATTGTTGAAATAGAAGAGGAGTTGAATCCAGGAGAAAATTATAGGGGTAAGAACTATTTGACGTCTGAATTGAAAAGAGAGGAAAAGGACGCTAGATCTCTTGCCTCAAATTCTGGGAATATCAGTTCTCTAGAGGATGATCTCAATCAACTCTTTGAGATGTTCAATCGCAGAGTTTCATCTCATGGATCCCCTCATCCAAGCCAAGCTGGGACATCAAGGAAGAATGCTTCAAAAAAGCCTGTCAAATCAGGGGGTTCTTTTTCACCGGGACATGGAGTTTCCGATCGTGTCAATCTAAAGCAGGCACTTAGGGGATTGTGCCTTTCTCAGGCTTCTGAAATGGCAGCCATGAAACGCTCTTCAAAATCAGGCACATCAGAAGCTGGGAGGATATCGACTAGGTACCGTAATGTAGTTGAAGACAGTGTATCTGATCATTCCCAAGATGATGGCCGAGGGGGCATGCTCGAGATATCACTTGTTCCTGAGGAAGCAACTTTTAACACTTTTCGAAATATCCGTGGAAAGTCACCAGCATCAGATTATTGCTTTTCAAACCGAAGTTCTCTCACAGAAAGAGAAACTGGATTCACCCTAATGTCAAAAAACGAAAAAGGTTTTGAGTCAAATTACTATAGCAATCAAGTATTGAGGTCTGATAAACCTGGATCTGTATCGTCTCCATCATCTCCTCATGTTGATGACAGCATCCCTGACACGGGTCATAGTATTTTGACTCAGAAAGGAATAAATATGCCATCAACTGAAATGAAGAATCAAGCAGGAAACACCGAATTATTGCAGCAGCACATGTTTCTATTGCAGAAAGAGAAGCTTGCTTCTTCAAAGTCTTCACCACGTATTAGCAATGGGAAGGGCTCTGTGGAACTTGCTCGAAATGATCCAGCACATAGGGAGGTAATTGCAGTTGGTGCCCGGAGCCAAATGTCAAAGGTTGGTATGGAGCGCAGGGAGGAAAGTACACGTTCTTTGTGTCATTTTGATCTCCTTGACAAAGCCGAAGAGCATAGCAAGAACAGCATGACAGAGATTCTTAAACTTTCTGCCTCAACTGATCTTGCGAGTCAAACACCTTTGATGGGGTCACTGCAGGATGAGAAGCATATGCTTCTTCAATCCTCTTCTGGTGATGAAAATATCCCTTTGGAATTTGATAGGAAAGTGGCAGAGGAAAAGGAAATGATTTCTGTGTCAACTGAAGCTGGGAATGAACAGTTGCATCCAATGCACGAGGATGAGCATGCAGATATGTGCTCTCCACGTCATCCTGACCTTGGTGATAAAGCTTTGGGTGCAAGCAGCAGTAATCCAGCACCTAATAAGGTGGTAAGCAAAGAAGCTACTGGAAAATCAGCAAAACTGGGGGGCGGTAAGAAGATCAGCTCAAAGACTGTATCCTCAACTGGCTCCCCAAAAGGGAAAAAAGGAAACAAGTCTACTAGAAATGCGCAGCATCTGGTCAAACCTCTTATCAAGACTAAGAATTTGATCAAGAGGAAGTCGAAGAAGAAGATGAACTCAAATAGTAGCTTGAAAAACGTGCGAAGTGAATTCAATAATGACTTGTATTCAGGCCCAAATCCAATTGTATGTCCGAGATGCCAGTGTGTAGTGACAGAAACCTGGAAAGAATCCAATCAAGAGTCTTCGGTATCCCAGCAGGAGTCTCTGTTATCCCAACAAGAGTCTCCACAAACCCATCAAGATTCTCATGTGTCCCATCAAGAGTCTCCTGTGCTCTTTCAGGACTCACCAGTATCTCCCTTTGCAAGTCTCAGTGCTGAAATTAGCTCTGGCAATGTTATATCAGATGTTAGCACACTTGGACCAAGTCCTGATAGCACAAACCAAGAGACAGCTATTGCTGAATCTAGTGGCAACTCAAAGTTGATATACAAGGGGGAATTCACTCAGAGTTCAAAAGACAGCCCTGGTGAATGTAGCAGTAGCACAAGTATTAGTGAAGAAAGCATTTTGAGCAGGCCCAGCTTTTGTGATCGGCCACACATGTCTAAGGATGTAAGGTGGGAAGCGGTTCGTCATGTGAGGTTTCAGCATGGAACTTTAGGCTTGAGACATTTCAATCTTTTAAAGAAGCTTGGCTGTGGAGATATTGGAACTGTTTATCTTGCTGAGCTCATTAGTACAAACTGTCTATTTGCTATAAAGGTCATGGACAATGAATTTTTGGCTAGAAGGAAGAAAATAGCGAGGGCACAGACAGAGAAGGATATACTGAGAATGCTGGATCATCCTTTTCTTCCTACTTTATATTGCCAGTTTACGTCAGATAATTTGTCATGTTTAGTTATGGAGTATTGTCCAGGGGGTGATTTACATGTTCTCCGGCAAAGACAGCCTGGCAGGTGTTTTACAGAACAAGCTGCAAGGTAACATGTCATAATTTTATTTATATATTTATTTGTTTGTTTGTTTGTTTTTGGTATCACCCCCACTCCTTGTATAAAATGATGCAAATTAACATATACTTCAAAACAGACAATACTACACGGCTACACCTGTTTCCCCTCTATAACTTTTCTAGCCGCTAAATAAACCTGCAACGAGTTTATGACCAAAATCCTTGGAAATAATGCAACTATATGATGCTAGTGAATTCATGATGCCTCTCTCATCTTTCCAATTCATCTATGATATACCTAGTCTCATGCAGGTTCATAGGTTTGTAAATTATTGAGACTGCTTTACAAAGAGCCATTGCAAAGCTCTGCCTAATCCTACTTTATTTTCTTAAAGGGGAATGGGGTTGAATTCTAGGAATTGGCTCTACGTTCTGAAGTAGTTTTAATACGTAATGGTAACTGCATATTTCATGCTGCTTTGCTGCTTGTACAACTTACTGGCTGAATGCAAGTTGTGTCAGCTTTTTAATATTAATCGTATTACATCCTCGACCGTGAGCTTTGTTTCTTGTGAGAGGGTCATATATGTCACGAGGCTCTCAATTTGAACTTTCATATTATTCTGTAATGGCTAAATATTGTTAGTATTTGTAATGCGGTTAGATTTATGAAACCTTGTTTTATAATGCGACATTTTATTCGCAGATTTTACGTTGCTGAAGTACTCCTTGCATTAGAGTACCTCCACATGCTTGGAGTTATCTATCGAGACTTGAAGCCTGAAAACATTCTAGTCCGAGAAGATGGGCATATCATGCTGTCAGATTTTGACCTCTCACTCCGATGTGCTGTTAGTCCGACTCTTCTGGTTTCATCATCAACGTCAGAGACCTCAAGAAAGGTCTCCCGTCCATGTGTTGATTCGCGTTGTGTACAGCCTCTCTGCATTGAACCTTCCTTTCAATTAACATGCTTTACTCCTAGGCTATTAGCCTCTTCCAAATCCTCTAAATTGAGGAAAATGAAATCTGATGTCGCTGCTGAGATGAGACCACTGCTGCAGTTAGTAGCAGAGCCCACCGCAGCACGGTCCAACTCTTTTGTTGGTACCCATGAATATTTGGCCCCTGAAATTATTAAAGGAGATGGTCATGGGAGTGCTGTTGATTGGTGGACTTATGGTATATTCCTTTATGAATTGCTTTATGGTAGAACACCATTTAAGGGAGCTGGGAATGAAGAAACCCTAGCTAATGTTGTACTTCAGAGCTTGAAATTCCCGGATAGCCCACTTGTTAGCCTTCAAGCTAGGGATCTAATATCTTCCCTATTAGCAAAGGAGCCAGATAATCGCTTAGGAACTGAAAGAGGTGCTGCTGAAATAAAGCAGCACCCATTCTTCGAGGGGCTGAACTGGGCATTGATCCGATGTGCTGTACCTCCTGAGCTTCCTGAGTATCGGAGCTATGGGATGCCAAAAGTACCATCACTAGAAAAAAATAACAAATATGCGGAGTACAGTTCTGGCTCTGGTTCTGCAGAGCATTTAGAGTTTGAGGTGTTTTAGCGGATCCTTTCCACATAATGTTTGTATCTAAGTATAGCCCTTATAATGTAAAGTTTTGTTATATGGTACAGTTCATTTTTACAGCAAGACATTGAGAAGAGGTGGTTCTTGTGTCATTTTATGACTCTTAAAAGAACTGGCAAATTGCTTGAAGGTTACAATAAAATTTTGTTCAGCTGGCGAGTACTTGATGCCTTGTTGAGATCATTTATTTTATTACTGTAGCCCCTCTATGTTTCCCATAATTGTTGTAATGGTATTATTGATTTCATTAATGTTTCATTTGGTAGAAATTGCAACAATTTGACATTTTCTATTCATATGCTAACTTTGGCTAATATTTTTTTTATTTAATTTTTTAAAAAGGTAAATGTTGCTATGTAAAATGTTGGAAGAATATACAATATTAATTTTTTTTCTGAAAAATATCTATATATACTTCTATAACTTTTGCTTATAGAATTTTAGAGATATAATGACAAAAGTTGCACATTAGCAAATATAAAAGTCATTACAAGTACAACATAAATACTTCATATAAATACCTAGTATGAGTATAAGTGTTAAAAATATTTTACCAATAGAAGGATATTGGAGAATAAAAAAGGTAAAGAAGTGAAAGTAGTGTAGTAGTGCTTCGGTTATTTTTTTGCTTGTATAGTTCACAATAGTGAACTTCCTTTTTTATAGGCAAATTTTGTTATTGAAATATTTTGTATGATTTTACTTTGTTACAAATCATTGTACTGGTTAACATGTTCATGTCAACTTCATAATTTTTCTCAACACTCCCCCTTGAATGTTCACATGAATGGGGTATGAGTTGCCTCACTAAAAACATTGCTATGTAAACCCTATGGAATAAAAACTATAGCTAGGAAAAAAAATACAACGATATTATATTATATGCTTTGGTATACTGTCTCATTAAAATCCTTGTCAAGAAAAACCTTGTGGGATAAAAACCTGGTCATGAACGGCTGTGGTGCAGGCGTAATATGTCAGTCTCCGGAAGGGGATAAATACGAATATGCGCTACGGTTCAAGTTCCAGGCCTCAAACAATGATGCGGAGTATGAGGCTCTGCTAGCCGGTATCCGTATGTGTAAGGCGGCAGGGGCAAGGAAAGTTGACGCCCGCTCTGATTCTCAGTTGATCGTCAGCCAATACCATGGTGACTATGAGGCCACCCATCCGGCTATGATCAAATATCTTCAAGTGGTCAAAGAAGAGCTGGGTCACTTGACAAATTTCATTTGAGCCAAGTGCCCAGGTCAGAAAACAATCAGGCGGATGCCCTTTCTAAGCTAGCGTCATCTGCCTCTTGTGATACGCCTAGGTCAGTCTTTTGGGAAGTCGTGGAAAAAAGAAGCATTGAACATGATCCCATTGGAGTTCTTGACCGAAGCTCGACCTGGATGGATGTCATCCGGGCCTATCTGGCAGACGACACTTTGCCGGATGCCCCTTCAGAAGCGGCTGCATTAAAGAAGCGAGCCGCAAGTTTTGAGGTCCATAATAGAGAACTCTTCAGGAAGGGTTATCTCTAGCCGCTGCTGAAATGTGTCACCCTTGAAAGGGGGAAATAAGTTTTACAGGATCTGCACTCGGGCTTTTGTGCATCACATATAGGCGGTAGAACTCTAGCAAAAAGGGCCAGGCAACAGGGCTACTTTTAGCCCACTCTTGAGGCGGACGCCATGAAATTGGTGAAGAAATGTGACAAGTGCAAAAGATTTGGCAAGCTTATACATCGTCCAACCACTGATTTAACGGCTATCTACAGCCCAGTACCGTTTGCGAAATGGGGGATGGACATTCTGGGTCTATATACACCTGCCTCACTAAGTCTGGGAAGTGGAGACCGGCTAAAAAGGCTACCTCATAGCAGCCGAAATACCCGTTTCCATTGCGTTGATCATCTTTCCAAGCTATTGTACCCAGCTCAGGTGGAACCCGGATGGTATACCCCGCTCCTAGAGGCCGTTTGTGGATAAAGTTTTCCAGATGTCATTCCATGTTAGCCCTGTCTCTGGCTGAGACCTGGATCTGGAGGGGATGACCCTTATTGTTCCAAGTGGGCCTTTCCTCTTCCTCGCTATCTACAGTCGGTGTAAGATAGCTGCTGCTGCTACTTTGTTCAGACCTTGACCTAGAGGCGACCTCACTGCTGTTTCCCTTTTCAGCTTCAAAGATAGAGGCGGCCTCTTCACCGCCTCCACTATCAAACCCCAAGATTCCATCACTAGGGGTTCTTGGGGTGCCTCCAGGAGATTCCCTTGTCATCTCGGCCTGACCCATCTCAGGCGGCCTTTCTTCGGAGCTTTCTCCTTTACACTCCGGGTCAACATCCGTGTTTCTAGTTTGAGCCATAGTGTCCTGCACAGACACGGAGATGGTCTGATTGGGAGATGGAAAAGGGGAATCCTAGTAACCAGAGGCTGGTCCCCCAGTCCTAGACTCAGCCGTACCAGGGGACTGGTTGCCCTCTAAATCGTGGTACGCCGTGTGTGTAGTTTTTGAATCCATTTAATATTTAAAGAGAAAAAAAGAACAAGACACAAACGAAAATACATGAAAGAGCTGAGGGAGGTAGAGACGGTACCTCAAAAATAAGCTGAAAAAACAAAGTGCCGACCGGCTGAGTTAGCAGGTGAAAATCAGTTGATGGCTTGCAAGGGGCACAGGTGCTTGACCAGATGTACCCTCTGTGAAAGCAGATGTATCCGCTGGGGGGTACTCGAGCGGTCTTAAGAAGTTTAAACTAGTTGATGCACAGACGGTATACCTGTATGTGCCTCTGGAAATTAAAGAAATTGCTTGCAAACCCCTCAAACGGTTTTCAAGAAGCTGTGCTGTCTGACAATCACAGACATCTTACTAGATGTGTTTACAGGAAGGAGCAGGCGGGTTTTCACTACAATTCTCTCTGGAAGCCGGTTGACTCTCTTTTTCTAAACTTTCGAAAATGTCCAAATGAAGGGGGTGAACGACTATATAAAGGAGGGTAATGTGAAGGGGCATCCCTAAAACTCCCTCAGAAGGTGAACGGTTATTACCGTCAGCCAATGATCGAGTGATAAGTGTCACAGATGCCATGTGGCATGCCACGTCACATCTGTGAGGGGCAAATGTTTAGGGTAAAAATACCCTATGCTACATGGACCAGTCAGCGTGTGACACGTGTCACCTCCAGAGTGGTTCATAAGAACCAATCCCCTATATATGGACACGTGGCACATACTTCAAGACCCTATAAATAGGGAGATGTTTCCCAATTGTAGACGGATCATTTCACATTCAATTACAAGAAACTGAGCATATTAATTGCAGATCATTTACTCCCAATCTCGTAATTCGAGGATTCTTAACTCCTGCATTTATTACAGACTCCATTCTCGGTCTAACTTGATCATTGGAGGCGGAACTCCCCCAACCGGAGTCTCCGTTGTTTTGCAGGTACAGACGTCCGGATTCCAGTCTTGGTGTTGTAACTCTCCCGAAGGACACAGAAAACCCCGAAACACTAATCACGGTCAAAACTGAATTTCGTGCCTCATAATTTTTATCCAAATCTTGAATGGTTGGATAGCCCTTGAATTTATCTTTCCAATGATATATCATAATCCCAATTCCGATTAGAAACAAAAAAAAAAGATGATTAAAATACAAAACTCTATCCAAAACTGACACCGTTTCACTATTTTGGCCATATATTTTATTCTACAAAAGATATAAGTTTGATTCTAATTTTGTTGGAAAGTCAACTTCTAGAGCTTTACAATGATATATTATTTATATTATTCCAATTTCTGGATCAAAAGTTATGATAAAACCAAAAACCACAAAAACTGATGTATATCGCGCCGCGATAGTTCCATTGCGCCGCGATACTCCCATCGCGCTGCGATGGAACCTGATTGAGTCTGATTTGAATTCTGACTCTTTTTTTTATCCTTCGATTCTCTTTTTTCCTTATAAATAGAGGTCGTTTCACCCCATTTTCAATCATCAACAAGCTTGATCAATACCAGTGACCAACAATCATCATCAATACCTTTTCTAATACTTTCTTTCTCTCTTGATTTTTCATGTTCTTAGCCTAGCCTAAACACATCCTTAATATTCTCCCCAAGCAGTCACCATACTTCCTTCACGAGATTCGAATACTCTTAACCATCCTCAACGTTGCCTTCGACCTCGCATGAAAGGTTGATAGTTCTAAGGGTTTGTCCTAAATCTATATATCAATAATTCATTGATTTATTTACTTTGTTGATATAATCTTTCTCGAAGTTACTAACGTGTTTATTGTTTTAATAGCAAGAAGGGAAGAACATCAACGTAAGTAATTCAATTACTTAATCCTTGGTTTTGGAGTAGAAATCATGTTTAGGATATTATTTTAATTCCAAGTACCATGTTAGGATGTTATTATGATTTCTAGTATCATGTTAGGATGTTTTTTATGATTACTAGTATCATGTTTAGGTTAATGTTTTGATCTTGATTATTAGTGACATGCTAGGATTTGTTATTAATCCGTTTAGTATCATGCCTAGGATCTTATTGCTAATTATATTTTGATGATTTTGATTATGATGATGATTGTTATGTCAATAATATATTGCTTGATTATTCATGATTGATTGTTGTTGCTTGATCACACCCCTTTTTGCAGGTTTAAAGGGAATTTGTACTTGACATCACGCCTAATAAGATAATTAATAATTTGATTTAGGCTTAATATGATTTTAATTCAAGTGATCACCAATAATAGATTTGATTGTGCATTAATAATTAACCAACGTAGATTAAACAGGTTTAGGGCTAACTTGATGTATGTATGTTGATCGAAAAGCGCACATGAATATCATAAGAATTAAGGCTGATTTAGGACGGGTTCAATCTCTTTTAGGTTGGATTCTTACCATCATCCCCGAATATCCAGTCATGGTTCCAGACTACTATGGAGTTAGCGATCTCCGTGATTGTGAATGGGGTAAAACCTTCGCACCCGTGAACGGTTTACAAGTTTCTAAACTTGTTGGCGACTCTTTTATTTCTAATTTCTTTCCCTTGGAGCGTCGCCTTGCCTAAAATCATGAATACAGTGGGGCTCAAAAGACTGAGTTTGAAAAATTCCCTACAACAGGGCATTCAATTTTTTGAGTGTCGAAAAGCCA